GACAATCCAGAGTTTTAGGACTCTTGGATACCACGTGGAATGCTTAGCACTGTTGCCCCTGTTCAGCGCTCAATGCATTCAGCTCAGATACCAAGACTTTGCCATACAAAGTTGGGCTGATAACCAAGGAAGTTGTAGAGGTCTGCAACTGCCAAGTTACAGGGTTTAGAAGACAACAACACCGAGGAACTTCTTGAGCCTTGAAGTTCAGAAGCCAAGGTTCCAAGTTGAAAAGCGTTTGAGAAACAGATTTGAAATGTTGTTTCAGTTTGTTTGGGTTTTGTGTGGATGATCCTAACTTGAGGGCTTAGGATTCCCAAGGTCACATGCCAGCGGCATGGATACCCTGGTATCCTTGGAGGGTCTATCCCAATACCCAGAAAGACTGGACACCAAGGTATATCCAGCGGAAGTACCATAGGTGCCAGTTTCCCCTTACTTAGATGAGATGATGATGACAAACGTGAGACAGTTTCAAATACCAAGGTTTCCAAATGACAAACGTTTTCAAACAAAACTTTGTGCAGAAGTTGTGAACTCAGTTTCAAAGTTGTGGGTTACTCAGAAAGATGGTTATGGGGTATGGTTTGTTGGTCTCCTTTGTACCGCTGCCACTGCCCTATGATGATCACAAGATGGAGCCAAAGAGACTCGTTTCTCCTAAAACATCCATCTATCTGAGGGCACCATTAAAACACAGGACCACTTCGAGTTTTCTGTGCGCTAGTTCCTAGCTTAGTTGTTGAGCACGGATCTTAGTTGGTGATGTCTGGAACTTAGTTGTATGGGTTCAGAACTTAGTTGCCTTACAAACGGTATGGTAGTCTATAGGTACTTCGGTGTACAGCACTACTGTCCAAGAAGGGGTGTGAAAGTTTGGTGAGAGGATGTACAGTGTACTGAACCACCTTGAACCTACTTGAACATCTTTAAACCTATCTTGGAACAATGCATGTGCATGTGAACAGTTAGGTAACCATTTTAAGTTTGTAGGAACCGATCTGTGAACTATAGAACCCATAGGAACCTATAGGAACCAGGTAGGAACCAATTTGGAACCAAATGGAACCAGTTTGTGCATGGAAGAGCTTGGAGATGGATTTTCGTTTGTTTTTGTGGTTTTTGGTGTTTTTGGATGTTGTTTGACCCATGTCTTAGGAACTTGATGTTGCGAACTTATTTGGTAGGAGTTTTGTAAGTTATTTGTGAGTTTGAGCTGAAGACGTTTTATTTGGAGAAGCTGGAAGAACGTTTTTGAAGCTTGAGAACTCTTTTGAAGTAGTTTGAGAAGTTTGAGAACGTTTGAGTGTCACTGCGTTTTACTCGGCACGACTCTTCTAAGAAGAAGAGTGACTGAGCTGTCAAACCTGTGTGGTTTGGCTCAAGTCCGAGCTGTGAAAAAGAGCTGCCACGCCGCTCTCGTGTTTTCACACACCAGGAGATTTGGTGGGGATCCCACTACTCTGGACTCTAGTCCCCTCGGGTCGTACCCAGTGAAGGGGTCTGGAAGATCGCGGGACGTACCCAGTGCGATCTGGTGAGAGTAGTGTCGGGATCAGGGTTAAAGAAAGGGGGGGAACGTGGTAGAAGGTGCAGCAAATGATTTATTGGAGGCTCTCAAATCCAGTTACTATGTGACATCCGACAAGCGTGTCGCGCCTGAGAACCGTCATTGGTTGCCCTTGCGCCCTTTTCCCTTCCCTTTGCCTCTGCCCCGGCTCCCGGAGGCTGCACCTCCTTTACCTTTTCCTTGACCTTTTGGATACCTTTTTGGGGTTCCTGCATCCTGGAGGCCACAAATAGAGCCCAATTGCCATCGTGTCTGATCCTTTCAAAGTACAATCTGGAGGGTTCTCCTCGTTGAGAGTTTCTTGAAAAGAAACTCGATTTTATTTCCTCACGCAACCTATGTTTTGTGTTTTTCCTTTTTGTCCTTTTGACAATCAACAAACACAAAACCCAACACACAAACACCAAAGAACACTTCCTGTGAATTCCGAAATCGTATGCATTTCCGTTCAAGGGTAGGGTGGGTTGGGCTTGTCCAAAATTTTGACAAAAGACTTGTCAAATGGGGACACTAGTTTAGCTGGGCTGTAGGTAGAGCCATGGTTGTACGGGTGGTGCAAACCGAGCAGCCCTCTGCTGTTCAGTGTGAATCGTCAGAGCCTGGAATTTCAAACGACCAAAACTTGGATGTTGCAGCGATGAGTTTTTCTGCAGACTGGACTGACCTTGGAACAGGACTTCAATGTGGTTCGGAGGGACTTTTCACACCAAGGGATTCAGGTTTAGAAGAATCATTTGATCCTTTTCATGGCCGTGGTCTTCCGGAAACTGACGTTTACAATGAAAGTGTTTCAGCAGAACCTTCTCTCGGGAGATCTTCTGAAGTAGGCTTCAATGAAGGACCGAAACACTTGGAACATACTGCAGAGACGCCACAGGATGCCAGGAAGTTTGACACCCAGACTGCTTTGGAAGTTGCTTCACGTTCAATACCCCCACAAACTGTTGAGCATGTTTGGGAACAAGGCATTTGGGGCGCAATCTTTGGCAACAAGTCACTGTTAGATGTTTACAAGCCGTATGGTGAGTCCTTGAAGAGGCCTATTGATACTTCTACAGCTCAGGAGTCTTCAGATGTAACTTTACCTTCATCTTCCAGGTTCAAAACTTGTTCAACTGCAGGGCTATCATTTCATGACGTTGTACGTGACAGGCCTGACATTTCATGGCAGGAACAACGAGATGCTGATTTGCAGAGCTCTGTGAAGTTTTGGATGGGTTTGGTAAACCGTTGGGAGTCGAGTTGCAGCATTGTGACAGAGACTTTGAACCTTGGAGAGACTGACAGAGTTTTCATGATGTTTGCACATCTCTTTTCAGGTAGGTCGCCGGTGACAGTGAGAAAGCGTGGCTACAGCGTGATGAGGCTGTGTGATCATCTTGACAAACAACAACAGACCTTTCCTTGTTCTGAAAGAGCCTTTTATGACTTTCTTTGTGCAGAACAGTTGAACCTGGCGCCTCAATCGAGAATGAAGGGTTACATGCAGTCCATAAACTTTGTGAGACATGTCATGGCTGTCGATGAGTTGGAGCCCCTGACAAACAGTGCAAGATGCAAAGGGGCCTGCATGGGTGACGTGCTCAGAGAACGGGTGCAGGCTTCTCCATTGAAGGTAGTCGAACTGCGCAGGTTGCACGAATTGCTTTACAGCTGTGATGACCAGTGGGTCAGACTTTTCAGTGGTGCTTTGCTGATGTGTGTCTATTGCCGCGCAAGATGGGGCGACCTGATGAGGGCAGAACATGTCATTCTGGATTCAGACAACAGTGGCGAGCTTCAGTTTTTGGAAGCCAGGACTGGCAGACACAAGACAATGCGGGCTCAAATGCATAGACATCAGTTTCTGCCAATGGTGGCACCCTGTCATGGCATTGATGGAAAAAACTGGGGCTCAGTATGGATTCAGGTCCGTGACAGTTTGCATGTTGCATGGCCACCTGAAGGTCTAGTGATGCCAGCGCCTGGACTACAGGGACAGGCGACAAGTAGGCCTCTTGAAACACAGGAATGCGCCGCATGGTTGCGCAAACTAGTCGGGAGCCAAGAATCAGTGGGTGAGCGCAGAATTTCAAGTCACTCACTGAAATCAACCTTCCTTTCCTTCGCAGCAAAGAGGGGCATTGGGATTGCTGAAAGACTTCAGCTAGGTTATCACACCAACAGCTTTCAAATTGGAATGGTGTACAGTAGAGATGGAGCAGCGGCCAGTTTGTTGGTGTTGGAAAAGCTCATCAAAGAGATCGAGACAGGTCTTTTCAACCCAGACGATACTAGAAGCGGTAGGATCAAAGACACTGCCACTTTTGAAAAACCTGCAGGTGCTGGAGCGGTGATCCTTGTCAAAGACGAGGTCGAGGTTGTCGAAGTCTCTGACTCAGAGTCCTGTGACAACATGGATTCAAGTTCAACTTCAAGTGAGGAAGAGAGACCCAGGATAGTAAAAAACCCTCCCGTCTTCCAGCCGACTGCAGCCCCTGCTGGATACGTCATGTGGCAGCATAAGAAACTGAAGACACTTCACCTCATGTTAGTTGAGAATCGAAAAGTGTTTTCTTGCGGCAGAAGTGCCGGGCCCTTACATGAGAAACTCAATGTGGCGCCTGAGTCTGACACTCCGCTTTGCAGTTTGTGTTTCAGCAAGTCCAGAGAGTGATCATTTGTTTTTGCATGTTGTTGTTTTCACCTTCACTCAGACGCAAGACCGAGACTGAAACACATGACATGGCAGTTCAAGACTCCATGAACTTTTGGTAAAGGGATCGCCAGAGTGATGCCTCTATGCGATGCAGCTCCGTGGATCGTGCCCAGAACTCAATCCAAGAAAGTTTCAATGTTGCCATTTGATTTCATTAAACCGTTTTAGCTTGCGGAGTTGCAGTGTGTGATGTTTCATTTGCACTGAATTTAGCAGCAGCGCAGGAAAACAGAAATTGGCTGGCTGGGGGTTTTTCAGTTTTCCATGTGAGAAACTGAACACACGTCAGTGCAAGACCACTGCATCGCTTAGCAAGTGAGACGAAACGGAATCCAATGCAAAACTCAAACAATCCAAATTTCAGCATGCTTCCCATTGTTCAGCGTCTGAATTCCGCTGAGTTGTGGCCAGCGAAAGAGAAGACGTGTGAACACATCAAAAGGAAAAAAAATTCATGCTGGACCGGTGGAACTTGAGATTGGAGTCCATTTGATGGAATAGATGTTTAATTTAATCATAAATTACAAAATGTCTCATGAAACACGACGGTGCAGGCGAACAGACATTTTGCGTTTCTTTTAGCTAGTGAGATTCCAGCCGTGAGCCTGGTGGAATCAACAGCTGCGTTTTTCCAAAGGTGTGATGAGATCTCAACGGATGGCGCCCTTAAAAACGCCTTGGAGACCCAGGACATCAAAACGCACAGTGCAATGGCTTTGCACGAGATCAGGAATGCTGACTCCTGTTCCTTGCACTCCTGCGCCTGCCACTCCAATGCCTCAAGTAGGAGCATGTGAGAAAAGTGCAGATCAACATGCTGGCCTTGATGTGCAAGCTGGTGGTGACAAAGTGGACCGCGAGGAGTACTCCCCTGGTACTCCAGCAGAGGAGGTGCAGGTGAAGTGTGAGATCACATGGCCAGATGGAGAGTTTGGCAACGGTGTCATCGATTTGGATGCGCCAGAACTTCTGACCAGGCCTTGGGACAGCGACAGCGATGATGAGTCGGAAGAATCGGATTCCAGCTCAAGTGACAGTGAAGCTTTGCAGATGCCTGAACCTAGCAAGTCAGCTGCAAGTGCCAAGGTTCCAGAATCGGTGCAGTGGTTCATCAACGCGAAGACGCTGGTGATTCATCAAAGAAGGGATGCTAATACCTTCAAGTGCGGGAGAGCCTTGGGTTCATCCTATTTTCCGGTGCCGGCCTTGAATGGCTTGCGCTGTGGCAGTTGCTTTGCAGGTCTTTTGTGATCTGACCCCCTTTTGCGAGGGCGTGAAAATAATGGGCGGCTTGCGCCGCCAGTTGCTGTCTGTCAGCAACAACATGTGAATACGGTATGTCCGTATAACAGTGCTGTCATGTTCAGCCAATGCAATACTGATATGTTCAGTAATTCTCTTTGGAGTGGCTTGATTCAGTTTGCAAGTGATTGTCATGTTCATGCTTTGTTTGCTTGCTCTTTGTTCACGTTGGATGTCATGGCTTTGCAATGCCTCTTTTTCATTGGGTCTCCTTTCCGTTGTGGGAACTGGCGACATCAATTCATTCTATTTCTCTTGAGACCTTTGGTTCAAGGCAATGGCAGGTTTGATGGACAGTGAGGCACATTTTGCGTCAAGGGCTTCTGATTATGGGGTGCCCAATGCATTTATGCAGAATCTTGCCAGGAATGGTGTCACAACTCTTGGGCACTTAGCCTTTGCAGTGTTTAGACCAGGCTCTGATTTTGAGGAGGCTGCATTTGACCAATGGGTCACCGATGTGAATGGGGGCGTGCCTCTGGCAATGGGTCCAGCAGCTGCTATGCGCAGGTTGCACTTCGAGGCTGAAGTTGTCATCACATCCTCAGTGCGTTCTTCAGTTGAGACCGCAGATGCAGCACCGCGCCCAGTGCCCATTGCTGAAAAGAATGCCAGGTTGGAACAATTGCGCAACCGACTTCAGGGCCTTAACATTCATGGGACGGGAGAACCTTCTCACTGCTTGTTAGATGAATGCTGCGCTCAATTCGAATCAAGGACTCTCAAATACATTGAGCCGGCGCGTTGCACCAGCAGAGAAAATGAAATCACTGCAAGCAAGAGTGACAAGAAGCTACGTTTGGACGCTGGAAGCCTGTCTATAAAGGAAACCAAGTCGGTACCTGACGAAGCCATTTCAACCACTTTTCACTTGTCAATGTGCTTGAGAAGGAGAGGCCTTGACTAAGTTGGGAAGCGTAGTGTACCAACTGTATTGTCCTTTTAGTACAACCCAGGGAGTGGTGGGTGGGATGTTACTCCCTTCTCGTTCCCTTTTGCTCCTTGGGTTTCTGTTCCTCTCCTTTCCTTGGTATGCGTTCCTTCCTCACGCCTCTGTGGGGTTCTGGGCTGCGCTTTCGCGATTACGCTTTTACGCGTGCGCAGTTTACATGTCTGACACTAAACATCGCAAAACACAATATTTAAAACCCATTTATTTCCGGTTCACTTTTTCCAGTAAACGGAAGGTTTGCTTGTACAGCTTGAAATCCGAAATGGGTTGTGGTTTTGCTTGTGTCAGTTTAGTTGGTTTTGTTACATTCCTGTCTCATTTTAATTCTGTTTTCGTGTAGCTGTGGGGCTGAGAAATTTTCAGTTAGAATCTGCGCTGCGCCACGGTCGCTCAATGCGAGATGGATGGTGCATGGAGTAGACTGGAATCGAGCGGTTTCAGCCTTACAGAGAAGCTCCGTCAGGAGTTCAAAAAGCCTCACCATGTGTTCTTCCTGTTTGACACGGTTGATGAGTGTTTCGAAGTTGTCAGAGGTTTGCATGATTACACTGCTTCCTGGCATGAGATTTCACAGGATTCAGATATTTTGTTTCAATGGGCCGACCACTACAGAAAGGCTTGTGAAGTTGAGAGACGTTTGGAATTTCAGGATGCCAAGAGGTGCCGTTTGCAGGAATCTAGGGATCCAAGTGCAGTTGATGTTTACAGTGAGTTGTTGGGCATGGATGTCAAACTGCAGGCGAGACTGTCTAGGGCATCATACAGGTTGGCACTTGCAAACCCACACATGTCACGCTCTGATTTGGAGTCTGCAGCTAGGGAGCAGTGGCTGTCAGTTCTGGTTGGCTACATTACGGAAGCTGACCTTCCGATTTGCAAGGTGGCGGCATCAACCTCAGATAGCAGTGCAGTGTTGAGAAGAGCTTTTGGTAGCCGCCGTTTGAAGACACTCAGAAACCGTGCAAGATCCTGGAAGAAAGTTAGAGATTGGTTGATTCAATTCAAGGGGACTCCATTTCCTACTGACGTTTCAGACATGTTGGACTACTTGCTTTTCATGGTCCAGGAGGAGTCATCAAGAGGTCGTATTGTAGACGTTTGTGCATCTCTTGCAGTCTTGGAGGATGCTGGACAGGTTCCACAGGAGTTCAGAATTTCGTCATGCAGGATCTGGCTGCAGGCAACCAAGTCACGACTGGCGGAGATTGAGACAAGCGGCACAGAGGTCAGAAGGGCTCCTCCGTTGACAGTTGCCATGATCATTTCACTTGAGATTTCTGTCACCTCTTCTGACAAACCTGTGTATTTGAGAGCAATGTCATGGATTGTTTTGATTTGCGTTTGGGCCTGCATGCGGATATCGGACCTCGAGGGTTTGGATCCAAGGAGGTTGTCATTGAACAGTAGGGGCTTTCGTGGCTTCTTGACCAAAACGAAGACCACTGGACCTGGGAAGAATGTGAAAGAGGTGCCTATTTTTATTTCGAGGCGTGTGTCAGTGACAGGCTTGGACTGTCTCAAAACTGGTTTTGAGATTTGGCAGGAGTTTGGATTGCTTCAGAGAGACTATTTCGTGTTTTGTAGCAAGAAGGATTTCTCGGCACCTTCATTTCGGTATGCAAGCTCAGAGAAGATTGCAGTCTTGGTCAGACAGGTCTTTTCCTTGTTGCAGCAGCCATTGAAAACTAGATTTCAACCCTGGAGGGAATATGAGGAATCCAAGCTCCTGCATGAGGACGGAGCCTTGTTTTGGTCAGGTCATTCAATGCGTCATTTCCTACCTTCGATTGCAGCTGCAGTTGGAGTTTCGAAGGAACAACGGGATTTTGTAGGAAGATGGCATGTCAACCTTCATCAGAGTTCAGACTACATTCATACATCAAGACAGATTGTCATGGAAATCCAAGAGAAGGTCAACCGATCGATTTGTGAGGGTGGACCTGGTTATGATGAGAGCGAAGTCATCGAGGAGTATGGGGAATTCTTGAAAGCAAGATCGGAAGACCCAATTGAATGGAAACGTAGACATCAGTTCATGAAACGATCAGATGACGGCCCCTGCTTAGGTGTGAAGTGGCCTGCCTTGTCGTCGGATTCTCTTGACGAGGAAGCCTACAATGAGGGCGTGCAGGTCGGCGATGTGCCAGAGCCCAATGATGTCACAGTTGCAGACAGTTGTGAAAAACAAGATGAGAGCGCAACCTTCTTTCTTTCAGTCAGTAGGAGAGCTGGATTCAGGAGATTGCATAGAGTCAATGGCTGTGGAATCAAACCATGGGCATGTCAGAAGGTTGAATGGATCAAAGAGGTCCGTGAGGGTTGCGCGGACGCCGTTTGCAAGATTTGCAAGGTCAAATTAGGAAAGGAAACCGAAATTGAGGGGCCGAGCTCATCGGGGTCTTCATCCTCGACTGAAGAGGGAAAAGAGGACTTGGAAGCTACTGATGGTGACGCGGCTGGAGAGTAGGATTCATTGGTGCAATTTCAGTTTCACGCAGTTGCCTTGTCAGTTATTTCATTTGTGTTTGATTCCTTGTCTTGTCAGGTTTGAATTGTTTCCAATGCAATTTGGGCAGCAGGATTCACAGGCTTCTGGAACGTCGTTTCAGCCGGGACCTCTTAGAGATGTCAATGCATTGCAGTTTCACGAAATCAGATTATGCACGTGAGTCTGAAAATCTTGCGCGGAACTTGAGCTGTGCGAGACTCAGTCGACACAAAATCAGTTTTGAAACTGACATGTCATTACAGTGACCGGCTTTGGAATCTTGTTGTCAGTTGCGGGAATTTAAATCCGATGGAATGATTCGGCTTTAGCTCAGAGGGGATGTTTGAATCCCCTGTTGTTTGTGCATGAGATTTCAGATTCAGATGTGTTTGATTTCAAGTTTTCTCGAAGGGGCTTTTACGCCTGGGAGTTTTACCTCCGCATTCTCTCAGTTTATTTCATTGACCTTTTACGGTTCCAACCTTTTACGGGTAAGCATGGAATAGGGTGACACAGGACAGATACTCCCGTAGCCGGCCAAGCCGATTTGCGCAGGGAGCTATGGCTGACGAAGCGGAGAGATCAGAGTGGGTGCATAAAAACGTTGATGCCGATTTACAGTTTATTTTTCAGGAGTCAGAAGTTCCTGAACAGGCGCAGTACGACTTGGGACAGCACTACAAATCTGTTAGAAGGTTCAGTGCACTTGCAGATGATAGGGCTGGAGTCAGACAGGCGTTGCAGTCAGACTTCAACTTGCGCGCAGATTCGGCGCAGGGCAGAGCAGCAGTGGCTTCCGTGGTTGCAGCATGGGATACTGCAAAACATGCGCACGAGGAGGACATCAAGATACGTCAAGAAGCCAAAGGACTTGGGACGGTGAGACCTCTCCCACATACAGACCGCTCAGCAATGTTGAGGGCAGTTGAAACAGCGAGGGGAGAAGAAATTTCCGAGAAGGACCAGCCTTCAACTGACTATGTGGCGATGCTCTTGGAAGAAATAGAACAAGACGAAGTTACAGCTCACCCACTGGATGAAATTGTGAGCAGAAGGGACTCTCAATCGCTTCAATTGCAGTCGTCATTAGACCAATCGGGTCGGGTGAGAATTACGAGACAGAGGCCAAAAGGAAAATTACCGGCAAATACAGAGGAACTGCGACAGAAGCTGCGTGTCGAGGGGAATGCATGGTTGATGGTTGCAGCCAAACTTCGTAACAAGGTTTATTTGCGGGGATTACAACAGCGGCACTTTGACAGGTATGTGGACTACCTGCTTGGCGAGAAATGCTATGGCATGATGATCCCCGGTCCTGGGGGTGAAAAGGTGCCATTGTCCCCTCCATGGCACATCATGCTTGACTATGAGTTCGAGCTGAGGAAGAAGGCGGTGAGAAGGGCACACCGTAATGGGAGGCCCCTGCATGAGACCTTGCAGGAAGTGACAGAGGACACAGAGATCAAGGAGCTCTACTTCACCTCACCGGTGACCTTCTCGGCCATGCAGAGGCCATCCAAGTTCAGCCGTGTGGAGGAGCCATCGGTACGTTTTGGAGAAGGAGGAAAGTCAAAGGGAAAAGGTAAGAAAGGAAAATCTGGTCCAGATGGAAAAGGGAAATCCAAGAAGGGCTCCGTGTTGCCGGGGACAAACCTGAGTTTGGTGACGCACACACCGGACGGCAAGGAAATATGTTACAGATTTAACATGCGAGGAAAAGCTTGCGATGGGACTTGCAACAGGGTCCATGTGTGCCGTGTTCGAAATTGCAATGCATCTCACCCGGCATACGAACATCCAAAGGCGGGTGGTGCCTCCTGACCATTGGACAGTTTGGATGGGTTTCACAACATGCAGCAGGCGCATTTTGCGCCAAAAGGTGGCACAACAAGCGGTGTTTTGAGGATTGTCTATGCTTTTGCCGGGCATCGCCGAAGAGCTGATGTTCATGAACACCTTCAGACACTTGCAGATGAATTTGGTTTCACATTAGAGATGCATGAGTTTGATTTGCTGCGTGATGAGAAGCAAAATTTGTTGGATGAAAATTTTTGGGAAGAATTGAAAACCTTGATACGCAACGTGCGTCCTTTCTGTGTTATTGCTACTCCGCCATGTTCGACTTACAGCAGGGCGAGAAACCACTATAGTGCAAAACCAGGCCCCAGGCCAATTCGAAGCCGGGAGCATCCTAGGGGCTTCCCGTGGCTATCACAGAAAGATAAAATCAAAGCCGATGAGGGCACTCTTTTGGCAGAACGCACTTGGGAACTCTTCAACTTAGCCTCTGATGTTGGCGCATTTTATTTGGGGGAGTTCCCAGAAAACTTGGGGGCCACAAAAAATGGTATCCCTGCATCCATTTGGCAGATGCAGCAATTTCAGGATCTTCTAGTGCTACCTGGCTGCAGGACCTTTGCAATATTCCAATGCGAGTTTGGAGCTGAGACGCCAAAGCCAACACGTTTTGTCAGCGACTTGAGGTTCTTCGAAGGTAATATTTTCCTTGGCGCCCCACAGTTTGACAAAGCTTGGAATTACAAGGGGCCCTTGCCTTCACAGTGCCCACATGGTGGCAACCACCCTCAACTTATCGGCACCAACGAAAAGAGACAATGGAAAACAGCTCCAGCTGCACACTACCCTGGAGCCATGTGTTTATTCATTGCGCGAGCCATCGCAAAGACTTGGGCAGATTCATCCTCCGCTCCGAAGGGGTCAAAATCTACGGATGTGCAAGCGATGGGTGTCAAAAAGTTTGGCAGTGCAGATCCGTCCCATCCGGGGGGCAAGACATTTTCAGAGGCCTCAAATTCACATGTCAGTGCAGTTTCAGATGTTTCGTTTTCACAGGGTGTCGATCCAATTTCACAAGTTTCTTCGGCTGTTTCAGTGGCTCCAAAACCTCATGTCGTTTCCGAACCTCCATTTTCTTCAGATGCTAGTGCAGCTAAGAGTCCTCCACCCAATTCAGTTTCTTTGGAGGAGGTGTCAATTGAGTTGATTTCAGAGACGGAAAAGCCTGCGAAAGGACGGGCCCATACATTAGAGGACGAAGTGAAGATTGAATCTGGTTGCATGGGTCCACCGTTGACTGCAAGATATGGTGGGAAGGCTCAGCCGTTTTGTGATGGCATGGGCTTATGCTGCCCGGGGCGCTGGCATCCAAAAATGAGACAAACGAACCGCACGACGGAACAGCTTTCCTTTTGCAGGAGTTTGAGAAACCTGGTGGATGATTTTTGCAGGCAACAACTGCCAGACATGGCGAGGGCCACCTTTGCATTGGCCTTGGGAAAGATGGCAACTTCACCCTTTAGCAAAGGGGACTTGGATTGTTTGCGTGAGAAGTGGTTTTCTTTGCTGCCTGATAGCGGCAAGGCGAGACAGGTTCCTCCAGGGCAGCCCTTTTGGCTATTTGCCCTTTCTCAGTCCTTGAGGCTGATGGGCGATCCGGACGCAGATATAGTTGACAATTCTCCTGGCTCCAGCTTTGCGGAAGGAGTTCATCTAGGACACTTGGAACCCCTGGGACCTACACCCCAGGTTTACAGACCCAGGGAGAAAGAACCGTCATACGACGAAACTGAATGGATGGCCGAGGTTGGAAACTATTTTAGAGGAGATGAGGCGGCCGCAGAGAAGATCTTGGAGGAACAATTCCTTGAAGAAGAAAGGGCAGGTAGGATGTGTACCCTTTCTGAGAGGGAAGCGGCTAGACGCTACCCCGGCCGTTCTCTTAGAGTGGCGGCTCAGGGCATTTTGGAGAAGCCGGACGGTGGGCACAGAATCATCCATGATGCAACGCATGGGGTGAGATTGAACAACGAAATTGTTGTCTTGGACCGCTTGGAGAACCCTGGCCCCCGAGAGCTTGCTACAATAATGGAGGTTTCTCAGGATTCTGGCGAGCATGTGATTTTTGGTTTGAACGCAGACGTGACAAAGGCTCACCGTCGGGTGTTGGTCAGGGAATCAGATTGAGGGGTGCAAGCCTGCCGCACTTCATCCAGGTCACCACTGATTTGGCTTAACCGGACAGGAACTTTTGGTGTCGCTTCAGCTGCTTTCTGGTGGTCGAGACTGATGGCGCTTTTGGGGCGTTTTGCTTTCAACCTTTCTGAACAGGACTGGTTATTTGTGCTGGTCTTCGTTGATGACCTCCATCTGGCAGCTGGTGGACAGAATAGATGGTTGGCCATTTGGAGATTTTTGGTGGCGTTGGAGATGGTAGGCATCCCCTTTTCTTATCCAAAATTCAGGGGAGGATTTCAGATGGATTATGTTGGTTACTGGTTGGATTATTCCAGGTTCGAACTGGGGCTTTCAGAAAGAAGGGCCAACTGGCTTGTCAAGTTTGTGGAGGACCTTCAGTCGGATGGTTGGCTGACTGGTGTCAAGCAGTTTCAGGAATTTCATTGCAGGCTTGGTTTCGCTAGTCAGGTCCTACCTTGGATCCGACCCCTTTTGGGACCTGGATATGCGTGGCTCACGGCAGTTTCAAAGGGGACCACTTTGAAGGTTCCGGAACTCTTGGCCACCACTTGCGTCTTCATCAAAGAGAAGTTCAAATCTGGTTTGAGGAAGTTGCCTTGCGGAAGCAAGGAGGTGCATTTGGGCGAGATGTTTCGTACAGACGCAAAATGCGCTGATGGGCGCGTGGTGCTTGGGGGCTGGAAGCTAGGAAAGTCCTCAGACCCTAGCAAAGCTTCTTGGTTCGCTTTGGAACTGAGTCCGGAGGAGGTACCATGGCTCTTCCGAGGACAGAGCTCTTCATGGGCAAGCACATCTGCAGAACTGCTTGCGTCCGTGGTGGCATTACAGATTTTTGATGTGGGATCGGAATCTTCAAGCAGAGCTGCACATATCCTTCATTGTGGGGGAGGAACGGATAACAAAGCTGCGGAGTCTCTTTCCACCAAAGGACTCAGTACGAAATTTCCTTTGATGATTGTTTTGATGGAATACCTTGCTATATGTGAACGAAAACGCATGCGCGTGCAGCTTGAGTGGCGCCCCAGGGAATCCAATGTGGAAGCCGATGATCTCACGAATTTGGAGTTTGGAAAATTTGATTTGAATAGACGCATTGACGTTTCCTGGCGTGATTTAGATTTCCCTATGATTGAGATGTTGATGAAATTCACCGAGTCTTTTGCAAAACGGAAATTCGAATCTGCAAATCAGTTGAATGCGGGCCCCACACAGAAGTTTACAAAAACGAAGTGGGGATGAACGGCTGCCTCCGTTGAAATGGGGGGCCGGATCTACGGCAGCATACACTGAAATTTGTCCTTGGAATTTTACTTCCAACATGAGATGCTTTTACGATTTGGATTGGGACTTTTACGTCCAGTTTCTTTCGCGTGGCACTCATCCACCACTGCAGTAAAAAGGGGCTGATCTGTCCGAGTGATTTGCACTTGTTGTTTTGGCGTGATCGTTTATTTCGGCACTTCTCATTTTACGTTTTTCATTTCATTTGCTTGGGTTCTGCGTTAGTCGTTTGTTCCGGAAAGGTTGTTTGAAAAAGGGCAAGCATATGAGTTCAGCAACCTCATATCATTTCGCGCACATGAACTTTACGTGGAGCGACTGATGAAGCACCTGACATCTGAACCGCCAGTGGGGTTTCAGAGCACTACAATAGCTCAGGTCATGCGTGCTGACAGAGAAGTCTTCTCATTTTTGTCACATAGAGTTCCTGACATCAGGCCTGATGCCAACAATGTAAGGCCCCTTGATGCAGCGCTTGAAGAAGCCCTCCGTGACTACAACACGGCTTTTCACCTGGTGCCCTTGCCGAAGCACGTGCTCAAGGAAGAGAACACCTTTGGGCCTAGACGTCAGCAGACTGAGCATGCCACGGGCTCAAATCCTTACCAGAAGGGCAAGGGAAAACATAAAAGCGGCAAGTCCAAATCATCAGGTTCAAACGCTGCACCAAAGGGAAATGCTGGATGCGTGGGTCGTGACGCCAAGAATCGGCCGATATGCTTTGACTTCAATTTGGCCAACTGCAAAAAGGCCCCAGTTGGGGGCACTTGTCCAAAGGGGCGCCACGTTTGCTTCAAAGGTGGATGCTTTAAAACACATGCATTCAAAGACGCGCATCAAGCAGAGATGCCTAGCACAACCGAGTGACTAGGCGGCCCACAACAAGCCTTGGAAGTTTCATCCCATGTGGTGGTGCTCGAGATTTTTTTGTGGCACCGCAGGCGTTAGCGCAGCTTTCAAGAAGCTTGGCTACGATGTCATTGCAGTTGACAAGTTTGTCCCTAAATCACCCAAGGTGATGATCACCAAACTGGATTTGACTCAGAGCTGCAACCAGCAGCTAGTGCTTGATTGGATTTCCTTACCACAAGTGCGGGGTGTCTTTCTTGCACCTCCATGCGGGACAGCAAGCCTGGCTCGTAACATTCAAGATCCTGCTGATCCCAATTTGCCGCAGCCTTTGCGTTCCTGGGATGAGCCTGACGGCTTACAGAATCTGACTGAGCTTAACTTCCTGCGTGTTAGTCAAGCCAACTGCCTTTATGAGTTTACAGCAGCTTGCCAGGATCTTTGTGCAAAACTGGGTAAATTTTGTGCTTGCGAGAACCCCCGCGACTCCCTTTTTTGGAGAACTACACCTTGGTTGGACCGTGACTCACTGGAAACAGACATAGAACAGGTCCACCAGGCATGTGCCTACGGCTCCACTCGTCCTAAGTGGACAAAACCGGTTGCAAACTTCAAGGAAATTTGCGCAGTAAACCAAGTGTGCCCTGGCAATCACTTTCATGAACCTTGGGGCAAACAAGTGCAGAACAATCGAAAGGTTTTTGCAACTGCTTTAGAAGTGCACTACCCTCCTGCTCTTTGTGATGCAATTGCCTCCGCCTTTGCAGCGGCTTTCTTGCGTGTCGGTATCAAGCCAGCACAGCCAAATGTTGGGAACTTGGCCGCGCGAACCTTTGCACAAAATCAACCGGCCTCCAACAAAGTTGCCACCTTTCTGCCAGATTTCAAATACAAATTTGTAAGACTTTTGGACAACAATGTTCAAGTTTGGCCTTCAGCTTCACTGGATTTAACTGCAACGAAGCTACTGCATAACCTTCAAGTGGGGGGTGAGGACGTGCAGCAGCTTGCTTTGGCCTTACAAACACAATGCACGCAATGGTTGTTTGAAGCAGCATTTGAGAATTTGCCTAATCTGCCGTTTCCTTGTGCGGTAACATTGCAAATGTTTGGGAAGGTGTGGAGTGAGAAAGAATTTGTTCATAGGGCCCTGGAGTCCAAACACCCACTGGCTGTTGAAGATGCTGTGCCAGGGCCTTTGATTGAAGCAATTCGTTTCAATCTGTCTGCGAGCGAATATGACATTGCCAAGATCAGGACGGCGTTTTTAGCCAAATGGTCTTTGAGAGCCAAACGTTTACACCAAGCGGAGCTGGACTTGAAGCTGGCGATGGATCCAGTGGTTGTAGATGCGGTGCGAGCCAAACGCATTCTTTTGTTTGAAGAGATGGTAATTGCAACGGGCTTTCCCGATCCAGGAGTTGTAGATGAATTGCGCAAGGGTGCTGAGCTTGTGGGTGAGATTCCTGCCACAGGTATGTTGCCGGGCAAACTTACACCAGCCTTGTCCACTTTGGATGAGCTACACAGCAGCGCAGCAAGGATCCGCAGCAAAGTTGAGCGGGATGTTCAGAGCTCAGGCGATGCAGAAGTGGACAACCAGGTCTGGCAGAAAACGCTGAGTGAGGTCGAGGAAGGATGGTTGGTGGGCCCTCTTGAGAATGCTGATGTACCGGCTTGGCAGTCTATTTCCAAGCGTTTTGGCTTGATTCAAAAGAAAGGGAAGCTGCGTCTTATAGACGATTATACAGAGTCAGGAGTTAATTCTTGTGTCACTTCAGTGGAAGCTCCAGTTTTACATACGGTGGACATTGCATGCGCAGTTTTGGTGCTTTGGTTTGATGCTTGTGTGGATGCGGGAATCTCCCCTGAACTTTTGGTAAGGACATTCGATCTTAAGAGTGCGTACAGGCAAGTGGGTCTGAGCTCATCTGGTAGGGACCATGCATGCATTAGGGTATTTGACCCTGTATCTGGCAAAGTCAGATTTTTTCGTAGCAATGTTTTGCCTTTCGGATCAATTCGAAGTGTGCATTCATTCCTGCGCCTCTCAAGGGCAATTTGGTGGATTGGTGTTGTAGGATGTCGCTTGGTTTGGACATCCTTTTACGATGATTTCATTGCTTACAGCCGGCCCAACCTAGCAAGCAACACGGATGCCACGATTTCAAATTTGTTCAAGCTGCTTGGGTGGGCCTTTGCGGAGACAGGAGATAAATGTGTGCCATTTTCCTCCAGCTGCGAAGCTTTGGGGGTTTCTTTTGACCTTGGTGCCTCGTTTGAAGGGCGAGCTTCAATTTGCAACACTGCCGGCAGGGTTGAAGAGTTGTGTGCCGACCTTGAGGGTGTTTTGCAAGAAGGTACGCTGAACTGCAAGCAGGCTCAGAGGCTCAGAGGGCGGATGCAGTTTGCAGATGCCCAACTTTTCGGGCGCACTGGTAAGAGATGTTTGAAGACTTTGAGCGATTTCTCTGAGGGTCGGCGTGTGAAGCTGCAGCACAAAGATCGCTTGTTCTTACGACTGTTCTCCTCTCTTTTGAAGCAGAATGTGCCCAGAGAAGTCCGAGCGCTTGATCCCCACAACTTTGTTTTCTTCACAGATGCTTGCTACGAGAAGGACCGAGTTGACTGGCCATGCGGAATTGGAGGTGTCTTCTTTTGTCAGGATGAGGTGCAATTTTTCTCTGTAAAGGTCGGACCTACAGTTAGAAAAATCCTTGGTGAGCCGCACAGAAAACAAATCATCTTTGAAGCCGAAACACTGGCTGCAGTGGTTGCATTCATGTTATGGGCAAAACGATGTGAAAACCGAAGATGCATTCTGTTTGTTGACAATGAAGGGGCGAAGTTCTCTTTGTTGCGTGGCTTATCTGACAATGGCGTAGTGGATTTTCTGGCTGAACAGTTCGTTGAGATGGAAGCTCTTGTACACACTTTCACCTGGCTAGCAAGAGTACCTACAAGTTGCAACATTGCAGACGCTCCCTCACGAGGTGATGTCAGTAGTTGTTTGTTGCATGGTGCTGTTGATGTTTCCGAAGAAGCAGAAAAGCTGATGGAAGGTCTAGCGTCGAAGTTGCTGAAATTGGGGAAGACTGGCTTCGACGCAATCCCAGCTTCGAAAAAGATGAGTGTCTGATGTGACTTGAACATGGTTTGCAGAAGAAGTTTCTTGTCACGTGTGACTAGCTCTTCTGAATGCAAATGCAGTGCGCCTGTACTGCAAATGTTCTCTCAAGTGGAGGGCTAGGGTGGGTTCACCGCTTCGTTTTGTGCGAAATGACCCACCATCCACCCCATGCACCACCTTTCCAATAGCCTAGCCCTACAGCCTAAAGACTGGCTTCGACGCAATCCCAGCTTCGAAAAAGATGAGAGTGTCTGATGTGACTTGAACATGGTTTGCAGAAGAAATATTTCGTATCTGCGAAAATGTAATTTCATTGTTTGCAGAATCGAAATAGCTTGTCAAAAACGTCAAATCTCTTTAATTATGTGGCAAATACGTTACGTTTCCAAAGTGTAACTTTGAAAGAGGAACTACATGCAGGATGGTAGGACTGAGAATCTGCTGCATGAATAGGATTGCCTGTTTGGACCATGCAGGTTTTCCATGGATGGTTGATGGCTTGTCACGGCTTCTCACGGCCTGTCACGATTTCTTTCGGTCTGTGTGATTCGGGTTCCTTCTATTTCACAGCTCTAGATGTACCGAAGCGTTGCCTCATCATGTCAAGCATCAACACACAACAGTTTCTTGAAATGATTAAACGGTCTCTGTCCATCTGTGTTGCCAGGAATGGACATCGCAATTTCATTGTGGTATTCAAAATTTGCTTGTCAAGTGGTTGCCCACACTGCGCTGGTAGCATAACAATACCATAATTGCGACAAAATTCACTGGGGAGAACTCTATGGGATCAGTCGACGCACCCTGAATTTTTCACTTTTGTGCGCACTTTAAACTCCAGCGTCTCATACATGGCAGCTTTCAACCAAAAGTGCGCTACAACATGTGCATTGGTTGCAATCACGCACTACTCGTTCCAGTGTCTTGCATGGGAATCTTGTGATGAACCCAACCCCTACTTTCCAGATGCGCGCTCTGTGAGGCCCTGAGCAAAGAAAACAAACAGGTTGACGTACATACACGTGATTTGACCTTTCTGGGCTACATCATAACTCCAATTTGTAGACGAAACGGTAAAACCAAACCAGACCTCAACCAAAGCAAAGTACCAGAAAAACAAGCACACACTTGCTCAGAAATAGCTTATCGAATTATTGATGTGGAATGCATCGGACGTGCAAAGACACCTCAGTTAAACCTACCAGGAGTGGTTTAATGACCTAACGTGTATATATATATATATATATTGTGACATCCCAGCTGCGCACGACGGCGCCCAGGGACTGTCACTGCAGTGCCCAGCTACGGCCCCCACTGAAGGGGTTGCCGTCCAGGGCCACTGCATGCAGGTACGTTTACACGGGTCCCCGGGGGGTGTCTTCGTTGGCCACCGACCCCCCGGGACCCCGGTGGCCCCCTGCAAATAATAGAAGTTTTACATCTATTCAGATGGTACACACACACGCCCCGCAACAGCGGGGCAGATGAGATGACGATGAAAATGACATGAAAGTGAAAATGGAATGAAAGTTACCTAACCAGGACGCGAAGAGGGGAACGCAAGAGAAGAGGGAAAGAGCAAACACCAACACGACACACCTAGCCCGAAACGGGCAAAAACCCCGGAAAGGCAAGGAAAAAGAAAAAGCGAAGGCCGACGGACACGGACCCAGACCAGCGGAGGAGGGGGAGGACGGAAGCGCCTGAACCAACCTAACAAAGCGAAACCTAAGCCTACCTACCTGAAGAGAGGAGAACGCAGAAACACATGAGAAAAGGGACCCATGGGGGACTAGTTAGAAAAAAGATGCATCCACATTAGCGTGCAAGTTTCCCCTCGTTAGGCTCAATGGCCAGAGTTCAGATCAACCCCATAGACGGCTGTCAGTATTCAAATGAATTACGTGCACAGTTGAACCTCACCAACGACCAAAAAAGAAGAAACACCAAACCTGCAAGCATGACCTTTCGCCTGATCATGTGAGCATGCCTGACATGTGGTCTGTCTCTTGAGCAGTACTCAAAAAGGAAGTTGTTATCGTGGCTTCCAGCTATGCATATCAGCGGCATAGAAAAGGCGATGCCAGGCACAGCGGCACACTGTTCAACACATCGACATCGACAGGTGAAACCTGGAAAAAGGCTGGCTGTTTCACTTTACTTAGACGAATTACTAATTCAAAAGTGTAAATTCAGACATCGTTTTACCGTCAATTGTGTCAATTGTTAGCCTGGAAAGGCTTTCCCCGAAGGGTTCATACCACCTTGACGAAACCGGTATGAAGGACACACTTGCTCAGAAATAGCTTATCGAATTATTGATGTGGAATGCATCGGACGTGCAAAGACACCTCAGTTAAACCTACCAGGAGTGGTTTAATGACCTAACGTGTATGTATATATATATATACATATATATAGATAGATAGATAGATAGATAGATAGATAGATAGATAGATAGATAGATAGATAGATAGATAGATAGATAGATAGTGACATCCCAGCTGCGCACGACGGCGCCCAGGGACTGTCACTGCAGTGCCCAGCTACGGCCCCCACTGAAGGGTTGCCGTCCAGGGCCACTGCATGCAGGTACGTTTGCACGGGTCCCGGGGGGGTGTCTTCGTTGGCCACCGACCCCCCCGGGACCCCGGTGCCCCCTGCAAATAATAGAAGTTTTACATCTATTCAGATGGTATACACACACAAAGACATGACACAATACAATGATACAAACTCAAGCAGAGGAATAGGCCATGTTTTGAAATGTTTCGAAAAAAATCGCAACACGACATATTGGTAGCATTTTAAAAATGCTCAGCAAATCTACCAATGCAATGAAAACATGGGTTAGCAACATATGCGCCATATTCATTTTCATTGTTGTAGTTTTGCCACTAAATTTATATGATTTCATGTTTGTTCCCCAACAGCAGAATGCTTTGGGGTCTCAGCCCACATAGCCTTCGGGGTGATCCGGGGCACTGCTCGACCCTGCCGCCTCGTTTCGCCGGTTCCGGGAACCAGGGTTCCGGGAACCCAGGGTTCCGGGAACCAGGGTTCGGGGCAAGGTTCCGGGAACCCAAGGTTCCGCGAACCAGGGTCCGCCTCGTTTCGCCGGTTCCGGGAACCAGGGTTCCGGGAACCAGGGTTCCGGGAACCCAGGGTTCCGGGAACCAGGATTCGGGGCAAGGTTCCGGGAACCCAAGGTTCCGCGAACCAGGGTTTGAGCAAGGTTCCGGGAACAATGGGTTCTGGCTAGCTTCTGGGTTCCGGGACGTCAAGGTTCCGGGATCCCAAGGTTCTCGGACAAGGTTCCGGGAACCTTAGGTTGCAGGAGCATGGCTTCGAGCAGCCAGAGCCTGGATTGTGCCAAGGTTCTGGAATCACCGGAACACCAATTTTGAAACATCCTGGAAACCCAGAGTTTGGGGAACCAGGGTTCCGGCAAGGTTCTAGCAACACTGGGTTCCGACAAGGTTCCGGGAACCACCTCGGCTGCGGACCCAGAGTTCGGATATACGCCCTGGATTATGCCATAGGTTCCGGACAGGGACAAGGTTGCGGAACAACAAATCAAAACCGGCAACGCGATAAACACGAAAAGGAAGGCCGACCGACCCCTTTCGACGAACAAATTCTTACGACTTGCGAAACAATCAAATCAGAATCGACGGCGTTGTATGCGTGAACGAAGGCGCCATGTCGCTTCGAAGGCTACTCAGGCTACTCATTTGAAGTTAGCCAGTTTGGCTCTTATACAAAGTGTATACTTTGACCACTATATACTTGGTATGAGGTATGTTTAACGATGCATAACCATGCATAGCCATGCATAACCATGCATAACCATGTTAAACGACGGTAAATGCTAACAACAAATACACACAAATACGTTTCCACAAAACTGTTCGTCCAGGCACTCAAACGAATGGCCTGGATACCGTCCAGTTTGAAAGTTCCAAGAGCGCAGTTCGACAAAACAAATTATGAAACTGAGACCACCAAGAGACAATTGGACAGCAAAATTACTAAAGTTGAGACTTCCACAAGCACAATTGGACCAAAAAAATGTTAAGAATTAGGACTGCCTAGGGTGCAGTTAAACAGTTTCATTATCAAAAACTAGGACTTCAAGAACCCAGTTCGACAAACAAATATTGAAACTGAGACCACCAATAGACAAATTGGACAGCAAAATTACGAAAGTAAAAACTTCCAAGAGCGCAGTTGAACCAAAAACTGTGAAGAACTAAGACTGCCAAGGGTGCAGTGGAATTTGCAAGAACATAATTGCCTCGCCTTTCCGCTTCCACACATCCAGGTTCTGCAGTCGTTCTACTCCAGTTGCTTCCACCCGCATGCTCGGGTCTGCAGTTCGTGCACTAACGTGTTTCAATTGTTGCAGGTTCTTGAGTGGTCCTTTTTGATTCCCTTCACTGCAGTCCATGCATTGCAGTCCCTGCACTCCAGTCTTTGCGCTCCAGTCTCTGCACTCCACTCCATGCACTCCAGTCCCTGCACTCAAGTCCCTGCACTGCAGTCCCTGCACTCCACTCCCTGCACTCCAGTCTTTGCACTCCACTCCATGCAGCCCAGTCCCTGCACTCAAGTCCCTGCACTCCAGTCCCTGCACTGAAGTCCCTGCACTCCAGTCCCTGCAGTCCAGTCTGTGCAGTCCACCCTGCACTCCAGTCCCTGCACTCCAGTCTTAGCACTCCGGTCCCTGCACTGCAGTCCCTGCACTCCAGTCTTTGCGCTCCAGCCTCTGCACTGTCCATGCGCTCCAGTCCCTGCACTCAAGTCCCTGCACTGCAGTCCCTGCACTCCAGTCTTTGCGCTCCAGTCTCTGCACTGTCCATGCGCTCCAGTCCCTGCACTCAAGTCCCTGCACTGGAGTCCCTGCAGTCCAGTCTTTGCACTGGAGTCCCTGCAGTCCAGTCCATGCACTGCAGTTCTTGCACTCCAGTCCCTGCACTCCAGTCTCTGCTATCCACTCCCTGCACTTC